TTCCACCGCGGCTGCACACCCTCCTCGCCCTCAGCAGGGCTGACCCCAGGGAAGGACAGCACGTGAGGGCGCTGGCACTGAGCAAGGCGCCCAGCGAGCCCACCTGCGCGGTGGGCCGTGCACGCGGCAGCTGGGGCTCTGGCAGCCACTGGGCTGCCCCTTGTTGCCAGTGCAGCGGCAGGGACTGGGGCCAGGCTGCCAGAAGAGGGTCCCCGGGGGCTGTGTGTGGCTCACCGATGAACCTGACGGCTGCCTCTCGCAAGGTGGCCCGAGTGTCCTTCAGGTACGGCAGGCTCTGACGCAGATATTCTTTCACCCTGCTCCTGTCCTGCTGTAGCTGGGGAGAGCACAAGGGCACGGGGCTGGTACAGACCCTCCCCAGACAGCCGCACCAGTGCCTCCTACCAGCACCCCCCTTCCCTCCCGGCGATTCCCCGTCTCCCAGCCAGGAGCCCTGTGGGGCCGAGGTTGAGAGAGAGCCGCAGGCACAGGGGGCCTGGGGGTGCTGAGACCCCTCTGTGCCACTGCCAGGGCCCACACGGGCCGGGGTCTTGCTTAGCAGCCTGGGGGCAGGGAGGGGAGAGGGGCCTGCAGAAGAGCCCTTGGGGGCTCCGTGCTTGAGGGCAGGGAAGGAGGCTGCAGCTCCAGGCTGTGGGCTCTGGGCTGGAGCAGGGCAGGCGAGGCACAGCTGCACAGCCCTCCCCATGGCACGTGGGGCAGCCCTCATCCAGCCCGGCCCTGGGCCTTGGCGGTTGTCCTCGCCAAGCACTCTCCAATCTGGCGTGTCTGGGAGGTCTCGGCCAGGTCACTGAGCTTCCTCCAGCCCAGGTGCTCTGCAGAGGCGAGGAGGGTGTCCCTAGAGGCCTGCAGAGAAGCAGAGGTCGGGAGACGGCAGCACAGCCCAGGGGACGAGCCTTGGCATCCTCCTCCTCTTGGCCAGGCTCCGAGCCCTTCCCAGCCCCTTAGGGGAAGAGGCAGCGGGGGACAGAGTCTGAACTGGGTTCAGTGCCCAGGGCAGGGACACGGGGCAGCCACCACCTCAGGTGTCTCACGCTGCCGGCCAGCAGAACAGAGAAGCTCAAGAACTGCTGAGCTGCTCTCAGGGATGGGGCAGACTGAAGGGAAAGGAGGTGTAGGCCTGCGGCTGTAGGCAGAGAGGTCCACAGTCCCAGAGACACCGAGGCAGGGCAGAGCCAGCAGCATCTCGCATGGGCATCCCCCAGCAGGACGCTGGGGTCCCCAGCCCCTTCACGCCCAGGCTCTGGGTGGGCAGAGCTTTGATCCCGGGATGCAGGGCCAGTCCACCGCCGGCTGCATCTCCCTTCCCACCGCTCTCCCTGCCCCAGGCTGGGGAACAAGCTGGCTCTGCACCCCTTGCAAGTGCTGCACCCCTCCGCACAGACCAAGTTCTCTGGCCCAGTGCAGGGGCACCTGGGTGAGCAGGGCAGCAGGCAGCAGCGGGGAAGGAGGAAGGCAGCGGTGGGACCAGCGCAGGGAAGGAGGGGAGCAGTGGGACCCTGAGGTGACACTCATTCCCAGACCCTGAGGTCCAGCAGCCCTTGCCCCTTATGCCCAGGCCACCCCCATGGTGTCAGCACGCCCTTCCCCGCGACACTGGTCGCTGCTCACTGCACCTTGGCCACGCTGCTGATTTGGTCGTTCATATGCAACAAGAGCGGGAGCAGGACCCTCTGCACGTTCTTCTTCATCTTTTCCTTCTCACTCCCCACCACACTCTTCATCGTGTCTTTGAAGAGGCTGATGGAGAGCTCCTGCACCTGGCTGGCCTCCTGGTAGGGAGGAGGACAGGGGCACTTGAGCACCAGCCGCTCCCTGCCCAGAGGGAGCCAAGGGCGTTGGCATGGCTGATGTGAGGGGAGATGCTCTGGGGTCAGCTCCTGAACACAGGAGCCGTGGGCCAGACCTGCAGCCCCGGCTGAATGGCCCCAGAGCCCTGCCAGGCCACGCAAGAGGAGCAAGGAGGGGAGCAGCCCTGCCTGAGTGCTGCCCGCAGCGCTGGGCTGAAGGGCAGCTGTCCTTGCAGAGTGCCCATCAGTGGCGTCAGGCTCCCACGGCAGCCTTACCTCATCAAAGAGGGGCAGGAGCTTCTCCGCCAGCTGCAGAGCAATGAGGCTGGCCTCCTCCCTCTTCATGTGACCCATCATGTTCCTGAGGAATACCAGGGCCTTCGTCTTGACGTCAGTGTCGGCATCCTGCAGGGTCTCCACGATGTCTGGCAGCAGGACCAGGATTTTTCGTGCCTGCATGAAACACACAGTTTCCTTATTGTGAAGCGGTAAGAGACCACCCTGGCAAAAGTGCACCGGTCGCTGAGCACCAGCCTCCCAGGACCTGGCACAGGAGTCCCTGCAGCAGCCTCCTGGCAGGCAGTGGCCACTGATGGGGATGCGGGGAGAGCACCAGGAAGGGAAGGGAGTGCAGGAGAGCAGGGTCCCCTGCTCTGCCACCTCCTTTTGCGACAGGCCTGAAGGGGCAGGTGGACTGGTAACCCTCTGCGCCTGGAGGGCTCCCCAGGCACCCACCAGCCCCCTCCCCAGCAGGGAGGGAGACTGGAGCCGTCACCCCACATTCTGACTCCCAGCCGAGGCCAAGCCACCGCGTTACCCACTGCCCCAGGCCTCGGCTGCCAACATGGCTCCGCTTGACTGCACCCTGCTCACCGTCTCCGCTGTCTTTGAGAGCGTGATGAGGCCGCTGAGCACCGGCGAGAGCATCGGCAGGCTTGGATGCCTCAGGTACCTCTGGGCTTTGTAGAGGGCAGCAAACTCCTCTGTTTCAATGTCACCGCAGACCAGCAGCTAAAACGAAGACAGCAGTGAGAGAGCAGCAGAGCCCGCAGGGCTCCCTCCACCGCGCTGCCACAAAGGAGGCACGAGACGTGGGCGGTGGCGAGTGTCTCCTCTCCCCAGGCTTGAAGCCCCCTCAGCCTGTGCAGGCCGTGCCTCTGCCCCAGGCCCAGCAACTGGCCTGACTCTGCCTTCTGCCCCTTTCTCTGCCCCTGCCCCAGGTTTCCAGGCTGCAGAGCAGGGCAGGGGCATGCGGGCAGGGGGGAAGCAGAGCGCTGCCCGGGCAGGGGCAGGCTTCGTGGTTTTTTCACCCGGACCAAACCGGCACGGGGCGGCCCCAAGTGTCTGGCATGGGGTCTGGCTGGTGCTGGGCAGGTCCCTGCTGACCCTAGGGGGCTGTGTCCCTGTGTCCTGGAGGAGGTGGCCATTTGGAGGCAGCCAGAAGGGGAGGGGGCCGTGCCCGTTTCCCTGGGGAGGCAGGCACAGCTCTGAAGTTGAGCATGGTCACTCACAGCCAAGGGACAGATGCAGGCGTCCTCTGCGGCACAGCTGAACACCTTGCGCAGCCGCTGGTCCTGGAGCACGCCGAGCAGCTCCGTCAAGACACTCCGCAAAGCCCGAGGCACGGAGATGATCACCTCCCACATGGCCAGGGCAGCGCTGCAGACCCAGAGCGCTCGGTCAGCAGGGCTGCCTCGGCCACCGCACCCTGCCCGCGCCAGCCTCTCCGGACCCAGGCTGTGCTGCAGCCCTGGCCCTGCGCACCCCCTCGCTTGGGGTGCCCGGGGGCCCTGCCCACGCAGGCAGGAGGGGGCTGAGGTGGTGCTCCCCATGGGGCAGGGAGGAGCGTGGGGGCAGGGCTCTGGCTTGGCCAGCTTTGGCTGCTGCGGGCCTGGCTGTTCCACCGGGGCTGGGAAGCGCGGTGGGATGGAGGGCCCGGCTCCTCGAGGATGTCCTGCGGTTTTCTGTGGGTCTGGCAGCCAGAGAGTCTCTGGGCCCCTCTCCGCACAGGGAACAAGCTCTCAAGGCTGTCGGGGCCACTACCTGTCAGATGTTGGAGAGATCTTCAGCAGGCTCCTGACCGCTTCCCTGGGGCACCACTCGGTCAGCAGGAGGAGGAATGAGTCCAGGCTGTGCCGGGCTGGCTCCGTGCGGACGCACTCCACGTTTTTGTGGATGTACCTCATGATCTTTGGCACCTGGAGGGGACAGAGGTGAGGATGGTGTGCAGCCACTGGAGTGCAGCCATTTCCCAAGCTGCCACTGAAACTGCTGCCCTTCCTGTCCCTCTCTGCTGCCTTGAAATGGCTTCAGGTGCCCGAGAGAGCTGAGTTAGGCAGGGAGGGAAGAACAAGGCCTGACAGGGTTCAGGGGCAGGGCAATCCAGCCACAGGGCACT